TTAGGAGGATCATGGTACAGTAATACATACCACCGAGTTATCGTTTAAAGATTATTTGTCCAATTAACCCGAATTCAGCATGGAAGCCTTGTAAACACGGTAGCTCCGTACTGGTAAGTTAGGCAGAACGATTCATCGCCATTACTATGACTTCAAGAGATTGCGAAATAATTACAGAAACCATATACGTATAACGTACTGTAAATTTCTGAGAGATTCCTTTGTCAAGGCAGACATACGCGTATCTGTACTAACTTAGGTTGATTGAATTAATTGTCATCGATGTAAGAAAAATAATTGAAACAAATAAAAGCATCGACGTAGCGCCAGGTCGAAGGTGTCGTGACTAAAGATAAATTAGCCAGGAATCAGGCTCCTGAGTAAAAATTCAATTTAGGTCAACCCACTGGCAATTAATCTTCTGCTTGTAAGCTCTACGTCTCCAGGCGCAGCACGAAGAACTAAGCAAATAGCTCAGTGGTATTAACCTGCGGTGGATTCACGTTGCAGCGATCTTTCGAAAGCACGTCGACTTCGTTCTCCGAAGTATCACATGAAATCCTCGACGATGAAGATACGATCCTCTATCTATGTTATTTCCTTGAAATATATTACCCTGATGCTGTAGGAATATTCCAGTAGACGTTATATCCATCTGGATAAATACGGAACTCTCGGTTAAAATAGTAAAGGACTTTGAAAAAAAAAAGATATATATAACATCTATAGGATCACATGCTCACTCTCTACAGTAGTTATTTACTTAGTGATAATCGAGGTACCGATAGCAAATACGGTAAAATAATTCAATCTCGAGTGAAACAGACTATACATGATGTATTCATTAAGGTTTATACTTAGCGTAATGTTTTAATGATAGTCGATGCTCGAACCACGTGCTATTACAATACCAGTACGTAGAGCGGCACGTGCGTGAGATCGCGAGTGAATGAAAATTACCTAACCTCAATATACGATGATATAAAGGAGACACGCACTTCTGATGTTTGAAGAACATTTGTGAATCCGACGAGACGTGAAATGTTGGCAACGACGAGGTTAGGTACGGCGTCGAGCAAAGGACTATTTGCACTTTGGCTTAGTAGCTGGGAAATTGGAGATAATGATGACGTACTTAAAAAGCAAGCAAGGGTGTGCGCGCAGGGGATGTGAAAAGGCTCGATAAAACCCTCTGTGCCGTTGTTATCGAAGATGGTCTCCGTGAATTGGATGAACTTTATCGCGATTTTTAATTCGTAAAATGGTTTCGTACCAGTCGCAAGCGAGGACTCAACAATGGCTACTGCCTTTACGTGTGTTGACCCTCGAATAGGATCATTAATAAAATTGACCACGCGCCAATAGCCTTCGAAGGGTAGGTAACACAAACGCGTCAAAAGTAGGTAAAACGTAGGTAGGCTATGTTATATGAAAAAAAAAAGGACCTTCACAATATTACAAAAGAGCAACATATGTTTCTGAAGCGTGCTAGGAGGGTAGTGGGTAGCACAATGCGTAAGGATTCTAGCGTCTAAATATATTGAAGATACGTCTTGGGCACGGTCGCAATATCGTACGGTAGGACATTGGTGTCGAACTAACCCGACTTCGGTACGACTTCCAAGAACTGAGTATTATGGAGAATCAATGTCCTGGAAAATTGCTAGGTTACTTAGCCAGCCAGAACCACTCGTCTACTATACCGACGCGTGTAAATATTCAAAGAGAACCATCTTCCTCAGTTGCTTTCTACGAGTCTCCGTTATCCTGACTGACAGTATTACATCACTTTTCAAACACCATTCTTTAACTAGCTACATATATACTTCGCCTTATTGTACAGTACCTCGTGATTGCAAATGTTTCCATTTTCTTTTATGCTATCCTCGTACGATCTTTCCTATGTGTCTCTGCGTGGGTTACGTTGACACGAATACTGCACAATAATGCAAACCAAAGTATCATGTTAAAATTGTAGGCAAGTATAGCTTTACGTGCCGTGAATCGCGCCAGGTCGCAATTATACATTTATACGTACGTTCTAAACACAATGACTGATACAAACAACGTAAACAGAACTTTCGAGAAGGGAGACTGTACACTGGAGAATAACGTACTTCGTTTCCGTATGCTACTGCATGAGCAGTTCATATTTTATGCATTAAATTATTTCTACATTCGTATTGTGTACAAAGTGACATAACCTCTTAACGTACGGGACGAAAGCACAGTGAATCCTCAAGTTTCCCTTAGGATCGCATCGCGTGTTGACTTATCGATCCTAAGTCCTGTTCACATATAGACTGCAGGGTATATAAGCACTTTGCGAGTTTAATGAACCGCCACTAAGTTTTATGACGTGGATACTTAATCGTAGAAGTGCACCGCGCACGGCATGTGTTACTGGTTGAAATCATGAAGCGGGTCTCTGCGCATGCGCGATCGGGCCGCCCTCTACTTATACAACTTTCAAAAGGGAATAGAGCGTGCCTATATATTTCACGAAACATTAAATTACACGGACCAACGGATCGCCATCGACAATATGCTACTTGTTTACCAAATCACTCCTCATTGACTGGCTCGCCAGATAAATAACCACTAACAATAATGAGAGACACTTGATTGTGCAGCAAGGGTGAAGACGCGTGCGCCTCTATACTGCTTGTTTATTCCTTTAGCATCCCACGGGAAGGCTATATACGTCTATCGGCATATGTATGTATATTATATATCATACATATATAGTATATGTTGTACGCCGTAGGCACACTCCCATATAATGCTAATGGCTATAACGAACCCCATTCGAGGTTAAATTTATATTACGGAGAAATGTCGTTTCGCAATTTGCTCCTTGCATAAACACTCTAAAGCGTTTATACGAAACGTGGGGAAGATATATTTAAAAAAAAAATGAAATAAAATCATTGCCCTTTGATATATTTCGATGGTAGATCCTATTCGGAGTCAAGGACTTTGCAGGGAGAATATCTAAATGGAAAACGGTACGGAACTCCAATGTATAAACACACCGTGCGAGGGTATAGCGAGATTTTCAATGTGCTGATTGTCAAAGGAACTTTTATGAGATTTGCATGTCGGTCTGATACGCTTTCGAATTTCGTAAAAAGCGGCGGCACGAATGACTCGTATAAACGATTGGATACGTTATGTGTATATATCGTGAAAAGCACACCGGCTATTAATTTCGATTGCTATCGGAATTATTCAATTTCCTTTGGGATATCTGACTTCCGATATCTTTTCTCGAATCTGCATAACAAAGCACACCGTCCAAATGCTGTTTCTCCAACATATGACCCAACCAATTTCCACCTCGACAATAAGAGAAATGCATTTGACTGTGGACTCATCCCAACTGTTACGTCATTGTGTCCTGAATGACAAGGCGAAAAAATAGTAAAAACGAAAGTTGCCTGGTCATTAATACGAATTTGTCGTACGGTCGACTCAAATGAAATTGATGACGGCTCTATTTCCGTTGCAGCCTCCTTTGCATCCGACGTCATAATGACATCAATTCTTTTTTTACCTACAAACATCCAAAACTTAACAATGTAAATGTGCCATTGGTGCTATGTATGACAATAAGAATCAACACGTGCCTATTACACGTTAACATGTAATTTTTTTATGTTTTCCAGTGCCAATGTATCCCTATAAAAATAACTCTAATGGATACAGGCATTTCGGAAAGAATAGATCAAATGATATGCGAAAAATATACAAAATTACCTTTGTATAATACATATATTTTTATCATTTATCATCGGCTGATCATTATTAGTAATCCATAGGGTAATGGTACGTGTTACAGTATATATATGTATATCAACACGTATGCCTATGTCTTATCCAACTCCACGAGGAATACCGTATAGTACAGGCATGTCTACCATATCGTTAAACTAATATCGTTGGGTGTCGTAATTATCTAATTCTTCGCGGTATCTAATATCAACACAATATTGATATATAACAGACATTAACGCTCGTCACTGTGTCACGTATCTGGTACGGGGACCATGACGAACTGTCCAGTAGTGCACGTGTGCTCCGTGACGAGAGGGTGAAAACAACCCTAAGCTAGGTCGCTCCAAATGCAGTGGCGCAGGCGGCAATATCAGGTACGGCCTTCTTATACCATTGCGCAACGGTAACCACCACTTGTTATTTTTCAATAGCAACAAACTTTTTCCATTCTTTCAACTTTGCAAATTACCCGCTCTGACGAGGCCATTGACTGTTTGACTTTAATTCGCAGCGCCGTATATAGAAGCCGGAAAAATATTGTACTAGAGTTCAAAACTTTCTTAGCCCCTCCAGTTGCCCGACCACGCCAATGGAGCGCTGCTGTAGCTATGAATTTGCGATGCCGTTCTTTTTAATTCGATAGTCTAGGGTGAAGGACATATTGCTTTCCGCACGAGGAGGGTGGCCAATGACAGTACGACATTGTATTTGTTTCCTATGTACCGTGCTTAATGTTCTATGTGCACTGCGTGGTCGTGACAAAGGAATACGATCGTGCGCAGGTGCACGCTCGAATAGTCGTAGAAAATTACACGTGAAACGAATTCAACTGTTTGTTTAATTAAAAATTAAATTCTCGCATCGACCGTTTTATCCGAGTCATTGAAAATTCCGTGTTTCGCGGGTGTGAATCTGTGAAGATTTCAAGTTACACTTTCCGCTCTTCCCGAGAGAATTTCAGATAGAGGTTAGGACACCGCTCGTCAAAGTTCCTACCCAATAGATTTTCTAGTGGCAAATCACATCTATCTTTTATGTACGAGTCTCATCAATAATATCGTTCTATAACGACCAAGGTACGAACTCCACCCAGTTTCACGCTCGGCTGCTCTCGTCTAACAAGGCAGGTTCAAGTACCCATTGTCAAGTTTATGAATACCGAAAATACATTCTTGAATCAGCCATATGAAATTATGATATATTGCATGTCGCGTTAGCCTACAGATGCAGCGTGATGACAAACCAGACAATAATTTCGTTATGGCGGTCGAATATATGCGAGTATCCTTCTTTTTGGGTTATCTCACCAGGCGCGGAAGGTTGTGCTGAATTTTTTATGGACTCCATAAAAAAAAAAAACATACAGAGTGGTTCGTATATTTCTTCCTGTTTTTTTTTCTTTTTTTCTTTTCACGCCACAGAGACATTTTTATGAAAAACAGTCACATGAAAATTCACGTTTAAAGGCTCTAATCGACGTCGTGCGTTAGAGCCGCGCGAGGATAGCGTGTGAACCGTTTCATGTGAAACCGTAAAGGTCAGAGACTCGAGGCTCTAACTAGATGCTCCAAATAGGTAAGTGTTACAATGAATCCGCTGTGTAATGCCGAAAACTCACGTATCATTATACGATTATTAAAGGTGTTAAGTTCTCGAGGGAGATTAATGCATGCAAGCAGCTCAAAAAATGGGGTGGCCTTATTCAACTGCAACGACAGTATAGAGAGCGTGCGCTAAATTATTACTTTCCAAGGTGCAACGTATACGACAACCAGTACCCAATGAAACTGCATATTTTTCAACGGTATCATTCGTCAGGGCAATATTAATTTTGTTCGATCGGCTATACAAGCACCTTCGACGTATACGGTATGTTTATTAGATCGATGGATGTCATTGACACTTAAAAAAAGAAATAGATAATAAATACGAGAAACGTAAAGTCTTGGGTCTTCTCGATAACAGAAATTAAACCGATGACACGATAATATCCTCCCTGTCTGGTATTTGAAGTTTGGATAGGGGTTGGAAATCTCGCGTTCCAGATGTCTGCCTCATCCACAATATCCCATATTACTTACACGCTCGTCCCGCCACCAGGGCGGTCCCTTCGTCCCTAACCTAATAGGGCTACCCAGCTACGGGGGTGCAGTAGGCCGAGAAGGGCTACTCGATCCCTGCTAATTATGCACATAGAATGGCGCCCTAACGTTTTTATTGGAACTTTTAAATCGAGGCGGTACCTCCGAGGAATGTTCAATTTAAACATAGTGCAGATTTAGCACAACCATAAAAGCACCCTCCCCCCTCCCGCGACATTGTGCGTCTCGGTAAGAATGTTTAATGGTGACACCGAGCATCCCTCTCGAGAGGCCAACGCAAGCGCAGGTGAACGCACTCACGGCGAGGCTATAGTTGGAGATCGAGTAAATTTACGTGAAGGGCGTTTTTCGGAATTCCGCCAAAAGGGCCACAAGTGGCTTCGACTTTCGACAAATACTCGAGAGAGGACTTCGCATTTGGATGGGGGACTGGAAGAAAGGCCCTGGCCGCTCTTTCACGGACGCCTGTAGCGCTTAAGAATCTACGACAAATAAAGATTTACGATCGAGAAAGCGAACCAACGAAAAGTCGTGATGCCGATAGAAACGCGAAACAGGAAGTACACGGTGAAGCGTCAGCCAGGAGGGTCAAGGCTTTATTGAGTATTAAAATGTTATAGCTCACCTCACGCCCAGGAACTCGCTACATACTTTTTACATACATACATATCCAATTCCCGTAATTGTAATTTCAATCGGGAAAAACCTTAAGGGTGCTGGCCGATCGCGCTCTTTATTATTTCATCTATTTGCATTATAAGTTTCAGAGAGAAAATGAGAGAAGTCGCAAAAGTTTACTCCTAAGAATTGCGCACGCTTACCCGTGCTTTATCTTCCAGCATGAGATACATGACACCGAGAATAGCATCGGTGGTAGGAATGGACCGGAGAAAAATACTCAATATTATAAATGATAGAAAAAGGTCTCGTGTACATCTTGAGAATCATAGACTGTGGAAATATAGAGTGGAAAACCTTTCGGTGAATCCAGTATGAATAAACGAGAAGATCCTATAGGGTAAAGGAGTTTCGAAAAACGGAAATGCTCGAGCCATTATCTGTTTGTCTATAAAGATAGGCGAGTGCGAGGTATATAAGGGTGAATGTCGTTCAAGAGTCGCCTAAACCTTTTTTTTTTCTTCTTTCTTTTTCTTTCATGAAAATACCCACAGTGAAACCCCGTCGCGACAGTAAGCATTACCCCGTAGCAAACGCCTACGAATACCCGTACGATCCATTCACCCTGAAGATTCTTCAATGAAAACGACACTTGGCCTTCATTCGGGAAAAACCGAGGAAAAACATCTCTCAAGATGATCCCAAGGTGCCCAGGATACTTTTCTCTCAATGGATGTTCGGAAGGTCTTTCGCGCGCGGCCACGGCCATTTTCTTTCCTCCCTTCATTCAAGCGCGAGAATCTACAATGAGCTCTGGGCTTCCTTTTCTCGGTACTTCACGCCGAGAAATTTGAATTTTACGTTCGCAGCCATTGGTGGGGATCAGGTTAGGTTACAGGTACTCCAATGACAATGTGAATTCGTCGAGTACGACACTTTGTGAATGAAATTCATACTACCGTTCTGGAGTCTTAGCATCTGGTCAGCTCGCCTTACTACGAGCATAATGGCGGACCAAGGATCATTGTTGACTACGGACTATCCCGGCTGGTCTTTATGGGGGTTTACGGTCAGCAGAGTAGTTCGAGAAGAGTCTCGTGGGGTTATGGCATACAGACACGTGTTTTCTATTGCCCAATGGAAAATCGCATTACGCGGATATGAACGAGGATGCCCGAGGACGTTATTGATTTCAAATTAGTTAGGGCTTTATCGTACATTGCGATTTCGCGTTACTAAGATAATCTAGGGGGAAAAAAAAAAAACATAAATTTTTCAAATACGCGACAAAGCTATCTGTATATGAAATTTGATGTGCGACATAAAAACCAGTTATATCATCGTTCTTTAGCGAAGAGATGAGCAAGGGAGGAAAAATATATTTTGGGAAGTCGAAAAAAAAAATTCCCCAGGGGGATCTTAAATCACCCTGTTCCCCAGGTGTGTCGCCGCTAATCGATTTTCCCTGTGTTTTATAGCGTAAAAAACCAACCTAAACCTTTCGTCCTCTTACACAATACATTCGTATTGATTTTAGTATAGGTTTTTAAAAACGATTCTTTTTCACAAAAAAATTTAACGCGTAAAAATCTTAAAAATATATGTTTTGTTCTTTCAAAATCGTCAAGTCAATCTTTTGTCGAAAGTCACGTAACTCGACTCAACGATCCTTGCTATGTATGAGCACAGTATAAGACTAAAGTGTATTGCGCTGAGATAGCCTAGTATTCGGTTTACTATAATAAAACAAGAAGCACGTTCGAGATTTCGTTTTACAGTATGTGCATATATATATATATATATATTGACTATAAAAGCAATCGTACATCTGCCAGTCGTAAATTTCACGCGAATTTCTACTCCCCACTGTACCCAGCAGTAGCCATGGTACCTTGGAACTTGCGTCATAGGTAGGTACTTCTTGAAAATTCACGCGTAACCGTGAGCAGTGCAGCGCAAAGCCACTCGAAATTGTCTGAAAAGAGGGAGAGACGTGGAGAAGTAAAAAAAAATAAGAGAGAAGAGGAGAGAAGAACTTCAAGGGCCGTGAAATCGCGGTGTGCCCGGTAGGATTTTCAAAAATCCGCGTGTCGAATCATAGGGGTGCACTGTGCGCTTTACTGGGATTGGGGTTGCTCGACAAATCGGTCGTCTAAGAAATTGACAAGGAATGAAAAACGATCTTTGAGTACTTTACTGTTCCCGTACAGCTGCAATCGACTGGCAGTATAAGTCTGACGTCACAGTGAACAATTTATAAGCGATACTAAAAATCGACATAGAAATTCACAGTAATTTTATTTATAAATTAAATTCCTCATCTTGATCTTTATATCCGTATTGAGTGAAACAGAAGAACCTTGTTGGATTAATTTTAATAAATTGTCCTGTCCCAAAATTTGCTCTTGGTTTTTGGCTAAATTGATAGTCTGGTTTACTTAGGGTGATTGCGTGATTTGTCCGGCAGTCGTACCAACACCCCAACGGCCTTGGGTAAGGATGGCCAGAAATTTGTCTCCTCCACTTACGGTTTTCGACTTCTAATTTGTCAAGAGGCAACAAGAGCCCATGAGAATGACAATGGGAAAAGCAAGATAGAAGTAAATAGGGGCTGGGCCGCAATGGCAAAACAGTACATGGCCACTTGGAGACTCGACGAGGGATGGAAAGTCGAGTAAAATTGAAATTGGAAATGGTCATGGGGTCTTGAGAATTTACCTGGACCGGAACACCTGGTGGGTCTACTTCGAGAGTGTGATGCAATTCTTAAAGGTATTATATAGGTATACACCTTATAATCATTTTTCGTATACAGAGAAATAACAATGAATGTGGCTATAACCCTTTCTTATACGCAAGTGTAATAGAGAAGATTTAGGATTCAGTAGTTCACTAGATAGGTACTCAAGTACTGATAAGGCAACTATAACGTATACCATTGATAAGTGGAAATAACAAGTGGCAACTCAAGGATTCACCGACCCAAAAAGAAACCTTCAAGCTTTTGAATTAATTCTTTGCGTCACAGCCGGTCACTGACTCACCATTTTTCTCTCAAACCTAAATGTTATAAACTAATTTCTGACAATAAATAACGTGTTTTTTTCATTTCTGTAGTGGCTTTAAAACATGGGCAAGTAAACAGAAAATCTATTCAGTCATCGTTATTTATTTGCAATAGTATTATAAACAAACAAATCCTCGAAATAGGTGCTTTAATGAAAAAAAAATCATTTTTGATTAAATTAACAACAAATCCAAAATGATAATTCAGATACTTATAAAGGACATCCTAAAGTATACTTCAGAATTTTATTGACTTTTTTTTAGTAGGTTTTTTTTTATTATAAATTATTTTTCATCTAAATTAACTTTTTTCATTTTGATCCGCCAATTTGAATTTTCAGATTTTGAATTCAGATTCGTAATCAGTGACCTCAAAAACCCCCGAGTACCAAATTTTAAGAAAATCCTAAGAAAAAAATGCATGGCTCTTAAAGAAGCTTCGTTAGTTGATTTTCCAACGTGCCAGTCAATTAAGCACTACTTCCGGTTCTTGTGCTACTAACTGACCGTATTCTTGTGTCTCTAAATTGAGGTTAAAATTACCCAGCCCCGAAGGCATAGGTAAGATACTTCTGATAAAGAAAAAAAAAAAAAAAAAAAACCTCAAATAAATTGATACATAAATGTCGAATATCGCAAAGCATTATTTTTCAAGATTAGACAGTCTATACCTGAAAAATCAATCCCAAGAGACTGAAGCGTGACCCCATGATTGATTATGCCAAAACAATAGATCTTCAAAGTATTTACTAACAATGAATACTCATGTTTCTTGTCTCTATGTGTAAAACAACCCTTTCAGCGTTCCGACGCTATGAAAAACAGAACAGTCGCTCTGGCGATATACGGTTGAAAGGAAAGTACAAAAACTAAGCTACAGCTATACTATAGATATCAGCTATACTACAGGCTATATAGCTTTATTTGAAATCTGTGAGAAACGTACATAAAATTGAAAAATCACCTTTGGGCCAGGCTTATGCGTAACGCGGTGCTTATTAATTTGGGTCAGTAATAAAGATACGTGAACGGTAATACCACGTGTATCATAGAAGAATTATTGTGTGCGAACGACGCAAGTCTAAAGTATCCAACGTGGTTGTATGGTACAATAAAAAGTGGAAAGCTCCCGATGG